CTAAAACTATCTGCTGGGGGTGGCCGCTTTACTTATATATATTCCGTAAACGAATGTAGCTTAGCGTGAGCCAGAATCCTTGGCAGAAATCCACACCTTCGTGGCCTTTTTCTAGCTCGCGCCTCGCTCAGATAGATTCAATCAATCAATCTTCTCTCGGCCCAACGTTGGTAAACGCTGAAATTCACGAAATCATCCCCAATGTCTACAATTAATCGGGAAGTGAACCTAGACATCACAGATGAGAGGACAGTTGATGAGAGTTTGCAAGGCAACTACTGCTTTCTCTGCCTTGCTGATCCTTTCAAAATCGGGGATTCCGTCGTCAAGTTTCGATGTCGATGCTCTTATTGGGCTCACAAGGAATGTTTCTCCCGTTATATCGGGGAGGCATGTCCGACCTGCCGTGTACCTCTTACTTCTCTGGACCAAAAGTCGGCTCTGTTAGCTGCAGCCTCTCAAGGTGATCTGGCCAAGGTCCGAGAAATGCTCGACCAGGGGATATCTCATTCACCGCGCGGAGGTTTTGAGGAAACTGCTCTTATGAGAGCAGTTCAGGAAGGGCACCGGGAAGTGGCTGTTGCTCTACTGGACCAGGGCGCTTCAGTCTCCGACAAGGACATCGCTGGCGCGACCCCCTTGCACCACGCGGTGGCTCGCGGACAAGACGAAATGGTCATCTTACTGTTAGACCGTGGAGCTAATATCTCTGCGGTAGACCGGAAACGCAGGTCTCCGCTACACTATGCGATTGATCCATGGCCTAATCAGAAAGTGGTCCAGATACTTTTGGACAGAGGGGCGCCATGCTCGATTCCGGACCAAGATTGTCTCTCACCTCTTGATTTAGCCAAAAAGGGATGCCATAAAGCCATTGTGGATCTGTTACAAAATCGAGGGGCGATGTCCGGGGCCCGTTTCATGATCCAATGGAACAGTAACCACTCTGGAAAGGCCTTAGCTCCAGTTCCAGGACAAGACTGAAGCATCACAAGATGCCACCGCGCCATAATCCATCGTATGTGTCCTGGTCCCCATTTGCACGTGAGTGATAAAGTGAACTGATTGATGCTAGATGTATTCCGGATCAAGCAGAAACAGCACGACGGTAGTGGATGAAACGAGAGAGAACGGCATTTCGGTACCTCTTCCTAGAAGGTTAATCAATGGGTGACTGTGTCAAACGGAGCGAGATGCGGGTAGAAAACTCGTGTGCAGATTGCAACTATGGAAGGGGGGGAAAAGCCCCCTATATAGGCCAGAATAGGGGCTCTTGGCACTAGGCACCTGCTGTCTGACAGACTATCCTGCATAGTGTCGACAATGCTTTCTTTATCTGACTGACCTATTCTTTTCGTAAGCCGCTGTACTCTCGACGAGAGATGTTGGTTCTCTCGTGTGAGTACGTCTTCACGTATTTGTGTGTCGAACAATCAGTCGTAGTACAATAATTGTCGTTGAATGCTCTGATTTTCTATCTAACTGAGGTCCCGCCTCGCATGTTTATATGGAGAAAGGCTGACGCCACCCTTTGGCGTCTCCGTGTCCAGCTCGTAGTTGAGATCCTTGTATCGCTGAAAGTGTTGCCACCCATTGTTCAACATTGTGCAGCAGATAGTTGCACCTAATGTTGGTAGTCCACATTAGGAGGGATTGCCTCGGGAGAGCGAGTGGGTCTGGGGCTGTCTAAGCACAATTGAGCCTAGTGGTGCGAGCGTCGTTCGGTGGATGGCGAGGTACCTCAAATCCTTAGTAAAATGGGGGGTTTTCAGGTACCTTTCCATCCACTTTGCTTCCCTCGCATAATTGGCCCCTCTTAGTGCTTCTTTTCCAACGTCGTTGATCCCTTTGGGCAGAACCCTTTGCACTCGCCTTTACAGGTCTTTTTGCACTCAATTTTGACGTTGTTGCGTGGTCAGAGCGTCTCTGTTGTCTATGAAGTAGAGATGCTCAGCGCACCCAAAGGGGGCTCGTTGATGTTTTGGTACCTCGATTTAGGCGATATTACTAGGGTTTCCGGGGGGGGTTCAGGTATCGCGTCATCCACCGGACAACGCTCGCACCACTAGGCTTAATTGTGCTTAGACAGCCCCAGACCCACTCGCTGTTGTTCGAGACTCGCTCTCCCGACTCGCTCTCCCGAGACATTCCCCATTGGGACTAGCCTCACGTGCACAGCAGCCTTCGTGGCCTTTTTTGTAGCTTGCGCAAGACATCAATTCATACAGCCCCCTGCGAGCACGCAGGGCGCTGGTCCTTTGGTTTGGCTGTTCAAAGAGAGCAGAGCGCTTATCCCATTTCATCCAAAGCAGGGTACCCATGAAGCATGTAGAAATCCACCCAAAATGTAGTAGAAGGATCCGCTGTGCATCAGGATCAGGAGGACTCGCTGCGCGGCGAATGAAACAGGTCTGGACGGAAAGGAAGGTAGAATAATAAGACCCTTGATCACCCTTTCGATCTACCCTTCCTCCTCCTTGTTCGGTCTGCACGGATACACAACACATTTGTGTTCTACGACAACCACATTATCTATATTATTGATAGTTCCCCGGGATGGACGTCAAGTCAATGTTGGGCCCCGAGCAAGCTAGTCCCCCGTCGCCTGCGAAGCTGCCAAAATGGTCACCAGAAGAAGACGCAAAGCTTATCCACCTCCGCCTAGGCGGCATGAAGTGGGAAGACATTAGCAGTCATTTCCCCGGCCGCAGTGCCACTAGCTGCAGACTGCACTACCAAAATTACCTGGAAAAAAGGATTCACTGGGACGAAGACAGTAAGACAAAGCTGGCACGGCTGTACGAGAGGTATACTGAAAACGTCGTACCCAAAGGCGTCCGGCGTCCTACCATTTCGATTCGAAGAGTGACTGATGTCAGTGTAGATTTAGGGAGGAGATGTGGTCAAAAGTTGCTCAGGAGATGAGTCTGCCCTGGCGGACAGTCGAAGCCATGCACTGGCAGATGGGCGAGAATGAGCTTGCGAGGCGTGCTGGATTGATGCCCTTCTCTGAGTGCACTCATCAGGATTCACTTACCCAGGCGCCAACGCTGCCTGGGATAGACACAATTATGTCTGGGACATCATCTGCTCCGCTTTAAACGCATTGCGTGAGAAGAGACTTTATATCAACCTGTTCAGGCATTTTTGCATTCATCTTTCTTCACCCTCTTGAAAACGTAATCAAACCAGGGCAAGTAGATAGTCAGCATACTTAGATAGTCAGTACTCAGCAACTGTGCCCCAAGGTATCCTAATACCGCAAAGGACACCTTTTTCGACCAAAGCCTATGGAACTTGGTCTGAGTCTCCTTTGAACGCTCCTTAGTCAAGGCGCGTTTATTCTCTCCTGTAGTGTTCGTAATAGACAGTCGGTCCGGTCCATAAGCCTCAAACTGGGCCGCCTGACTTATACTGCTCATATCATATGAGTACAAGGACGGGCGGCAGTGCAGGCAGGTTCTCTCGTTTGCAGTGTGCAGTTGAAGTTGGTAGGCTTCGTGCGTATAAACGAGAGTTTGGGACTAGTGTGAAAAAACCCTAGCATCTCCACTATCACGTGATCCACATAATTCACCTGCAAAATTAAAGTTTCCCGCGCAAAAAATCGGTTATACATTTTATTGTTACAGAAACCACTGTAAAATTGACACCAAATCGTGGTTGACCTATCAAGGACGTAACTGAGTGGTAAAACACTCGGTCTGCAGTCGAACCGATAGAAGGGGCCTTACTAGTGTTCGATCATAGGTAAGGTAAGAGGGTTGTCCGGCCTAGCTCCATTAAGTTTCTAGATACCCTAGATAAGTAACGTAATACTCCAGCCAGTGATCGTTGATGATGTCGTCCCGTTCATACCCGTTAGGAGGTCACCGATTCAAACTCTTCTGCAGTTGAACTTGTCTGGCTGAAGCTTTCACTGGCTGCGGCGCCCCATCTATAAGTTCGTCAGAGATGGACTATAGGAGGGGGGCCCTTTTTTTTTTTTTGAAATATTTTTTTTTTTTTTTTTTTTTTTTGTATATATGTGTGTGTGTGTGTGTGTTACATAAATGAACCGACGGACAGCGGCGGAAATAACGTAGCAAAGTAGCTAGTCCCCTATAGGCTTAAGCCTCATAGGGCGTACGAATATCGTATCGTATTGTGTGTGGGGGGTATGCTAACCACGTGACTATTTTTGCTTGGCACTGTCAACGCTGCCCATCCTAAGAGTGTTGGCTACGACTGCATTCTATTGGAAGATAAGGAAGAACTAACGATAGGGGCTTCCCCTCGTCCTTCGGGGATAGTATTCTGATTTGCTAGGAGCGAACTTTTCTCGGCATTGGAAGACAAGGCGCCGGCATCCCGCAGCCATGAAGGATTGAAGCGCACATGGCCAGGCAATCAATCATACTTTGCTACTGGGACAGGACTCAGTCTTGTAGAACAATATACTCGTTGGTCTCTCTTCTAAATTTTATAACATTATGTGCAACTACGGCAAAGCAGTGGCCATATGGCAAAATTGCACTCGGCAACCCCAACATAAGACAGAGAAACACCTGTATAGAAGATGCCAGAAGTCGCCGAAACCAGGTTTGCCCTGTTCCGACGCCGAACACGATCCAAGTCTCGATGTGCCAGAGCCTTCCAGACGTGGTGGGCCATGCAAACGGTGCGGGGATTCAGGAACATCAATTGGAACTGTGAATATCGAGAGAGTATGTTGTGCTGCGTTAACATAGGTATCGACGAATACTGAAATCGATGGTAGAGAGATCTCCATGGCTAGGCGGCACTGAGCCCCCTTAGCCTCTTTCTCGGAAGGCGAAGAGAATTCTATCCGATGATGTTGCGTGGGCTTACGCTTGGCGCCAAGTAGTGATAGCTAGCATGAATACACTCCTTTCATCACTTTGCCACCTTCCCGTGAGCTTTGTTGGGAACGGCCAGGAAATGCTTCAATCCCCGGACATCTCTGATATTACTTCGTTGAACCTAGAATTCATTGGAGGGGGTTTTTCAGGACTTGTTTACGCCATCGATGGCGAGAGAGTGTTGAAAGAATATTCAGACTTCGACGATCGCGACAGGGATACTGAGCATCGAGCATATGAACGCCTCGGCTCACATCCAAACATTGCGAGATATTTCGGCGCCACGAAGGACGGCTCAATAATTCTCGAACGTGGACGCTGTCTGCAAACCATATACCAACAAAGCGGCGGTACAGCCGGGTTTCCATTATCCAGGAAGCTTCGCTGGGCGAGGGAGGCTGCGGCAGGACTACGACATGCCCATGAAAAAGGGATCCTCCAAGCCGACGTTGGATGTCACAATATGATGCTTACCCGGGATGACCGCCTCAAGATATTTGACTTTGCGGGATGCAGTATTGACGGGGAAGAAGCGGCCTCCTGTTATAAATGGTTTAGTTACCGACCTTCGACACCGGAGGTGAGCATACAGACAGACCTTTTTGCCTATGGATGTGCGCTCTACGAAATCGAGACAGGCAGACACCCATACCACGAACTCGAGACGTTTGATGATCGAGAACGTCGTATCAAACAACTATACCAAGAAAAAAAATTTCCTCATGTCACGCATCTTATCCTAGGCGAAGTAATCCAGGATTGCTGGAATGGCAAATTCAATTCAATGGGCGAGGTTATCCAGGCGCTACCCAATTCAAACATGAGGGCTTGGAGTTGTTGGTCCACAATCAAGAGACTGAAGATCCACTCTACCGAGATAGTCAACTTTCTGCGTCCCCCGCTGGACTGGTGGAAATGGCTCAGAAACATGGCCGGGTATCCATTCTCTATCATGAGAATACCGCATCTCATCGGCTCAATTGGGATCACTGTGACAAGACGGCCTATTCCAGCCTTGTCAAACGAGCTTCCGTAAATGGTATTCCTCAGAAGCGACGACACGGCCCTTCGGTTTCTTCGCTTTGTAACGAACACAATTCAACAACCCCTTTCGATTCGAATCCCCAGCACAGCTGTCACACAATGAGTCGTTTCTCAGGACGTTATCGCGTTTGCGAATGGAAGCCCTTGCTATAGTCGATGAATCGAAATGGAATAAGAACGCATTAGGATCCAAGCCCATCCAAAAGTGACGGGAAATCGCAAGGTTGAAAAAAAAAAAAAAAAAAAAAAAAAAGTTCATTTTCAGAGGACTCTCGTTCTCCCAGGATCTATCCTGCATAGTGTCGACAATGCTCTCTTTACTTCTTTATCTGACTGACCTATTCTCTTCTTAAGTCGCTGTACTCTCGACAAGAGATGTTGGTTCTCTCGTGCTAGTACATCTTCACGTGTTTGTCCAGCAGAGAGTTGCGCTTCCAGTTCCCTGATTTTCTCTTCCGCTTTTTCACACGCTTGAAATTCAACGCGAATCTCGTTTGTAGCACGAGAGACCTCGTCGACAAGCCTGTCATTTTCCGCTTGTAGCTGATCGATTTTGGGTCTGAGACAAACAGCATTTTCGGAGGGACCGAGTGTTAGTGTAGGTTGCGCTACGGCTTCGATTGAATGGCCAACTTCTCGGCACAACTCCATATACGCTCCAATGGAATGTTTACTTATTTGTTTCGTGAATAGATGCTCCCTCTCTGGCCGTCGTACCCACATGTATCCGTCATCCTCTTTTGGCTTGAGTCGAACCTCGGATGGTTCAACTGAAATTCCAAGTTGTGTTCCTAGAATGGATTAGCGTCGAGAGAGTTAGTCAGCAACGACTTTATCCTTACGTAGATAATCGGCCAAGTCCTGCCGGCATTTATGGCGCCATTGGGCTCGCTGCACATTTCCCCGTCTAGGGGTGTAGATGTCGTCCATTCGTGCGGCACTCTGGTCAAAGAGAGACCGAGGCCTATTCAACCTAAATATTTAAGGGGGGTTCCCAGAATGGAGCCTCCCCCCGAGAGCCAAAAATACTCCCACCCAGCAGAGGGGGTTCATTTTTGGACTCCTGATTTTTGTGTGGGAGAGACAGAAATCCCGTCTATAAAATATAACTGAGGCCAAATATAGTTTCACTGATGCCCCCCTACAGCACCACAGAACTACAGTCATATTACATTTACGCCGATAGGGCATCGGAGCAACACTCGACTAATCACGTGAGAGGACTTTGTCGGAGAAGATTCCAGAAGATTGATCTTCACCCAACTAGCCTAAGCCGGCGCTGAGGGTTAACGCAGGAACCCGCTGAGATTATCGAACTTGAAAAATGGAAGCATGGGACAACGGCAACATACCACTTGCATCGCTGACAGAACTAATCGAACGTACTGGCGGAGAACTCAAAGCGCAGAATATCCAACCTCCGCAACAGGTTAGTTACATCATCGTCTTCGCGCTGAAAGCAACGCAGCAATGGCTAGCCACCCAGGCGTCTTCTCGCGCAGTAGCGACCCTTGAGAATAATGTTGGGTCTGACGGTCCTGACCAGTTATCTTTGTTTAAGGTATTTCCCCTATTTGCTTACGTTATCGTTATCTAGACATTAACCTGTTTAACAGAAAGTTGAAATCGAGTATGAGAAATCTCGGGCCTATAATCAATATATTAATTCTACTCCCTTACGAGACACCTTTATAGCTGAACGTAATAGCATTCGATCTCCTTTTTATTTAAGTCAGGAGAAATCCCAGCAAGCAGAACAAGAACCACAAAGAGAACCACAAGGAGAGCCACAAGAAGAACCACAAGAAGAACCACAAGGAGAACCACAAGGAGAACCACAAG